TCAGATTTTGACTTTCTTTTTATGCAAACTCTTGCTTTAAACTATATTACAACTTTCATTTAGATTTCTAAGGCTAAAAATTAGTTTATCAAAAATTCACTTTTTACGTTACGCAGTGTCGTGCCAGTTTCGACGTAGACGAGCCATAACTTCTTCATTATAACTCATATTTCTGCGTTCTTTATATGTACGGAACCCTTGTGACATATACTATAACTTGGTGAAGATTAATCCTTCTAAATAATTTTCCATCAAAAACTCATTTTTGACGCTCATTGTCACAAAATTGACTAGCCCGAATCTGCGGGCGTTACAATTCGTGGAGAGATGCCTGACTTGTAGGAAGGTCAAGGTGGAGCACCAGAGACCTCACGGAAGGATGCAGCTTATAGACATTCCCATGTAGAAATGGGAGGATATCACCATATATTTTGTTACTAAGCTTCCCAGGACTGCACGTGGAGTTGATTCAATTTAGGTCATAGTGGATCCGTTGACCAAGAGTGCACATTTCATATCGATCCAGGAGAGCACATCGGACGAGAAGTTAGCCGATATTTATGTGCGAGAGGTTGTGGCACGTCATGGAGTGTCTGTTTCATCGGTATCAGATCGAGACGTCCGGTTCACTTCTTGGTTTTGGAAGTGGTTCCATGATGAGATGGGGACTCATCTCCTTTTCATCAACACTTTCTACGCTTAGACGGACGGGAAGAGCGAGAGGACGATTCAGACTCTCAAGGACATGCTTCGGGCATGTTTCCTTGATTTTGGTGGCAGTTGGGATATGTACCTTCCATTAGCATAATTTTCGTATAACAACACTTACCACACCAATATAGATCGGCCTCCCTTTGAGATGCTCTACAGGTGGAAGTGTAGGACCCCAATCTGTTGGGGCAAGGTCGGTCAGAGAGTCATGGGGAGCACTAAGGTGGTGCTTAAGACCACATAGTTGATTCAGCAGGTTTGTAGCCGGATCTAGACTCCTCAGAGTCGACAAAAGAGTTATGCCGCTAGGAGGCATTATGATTTGGAGTTTCAGGTAAGCGATATGGTCCTCCTGAAAGTGTCACCTTGGAAGGGATCAGGTTTCGGAAGAGGGGCAAGTTGGGCCCCAGGTTCATTGGTCCCTTTAGGATTTTTCCCCGAGTGGGTGGGGTGGCTTATCGGTTAGATCTTTCAGCAAAGCTTAGCCAAAACCACAACACTTTCCATGTGTCTCAGTTATGGAAGTGTTTGGTTGATGAGTCAGCAATTGTACCGTTGGAGGATATTCAGGTTGACAGCAGCCTAAATTACACCGAGAGACCAGTTGCAATCTTGGATCGGAAGACGAAGACCTTGAGGAACAAGGTGGTTCAGCTAATGAAGGTGCAGTGACAATACCGAAAGGGTTGAAAGTGGACATGGGAGACCGAGGATGAGATGAGGGAGCATTATTCGGAGTTATTTTCAGATTCAGTAGCATCTGACTTCAAGAACGAAATCTAAGATAAGTGGGGGAGATTTGTATCGCTCCGTTCCTAGTACACATTTAAAACATTGTTTTTCTTCTAATTTTTGAATCAAATCGATAAGTCAGTGGCCCTAACTCGTCGAGTACTAGCCAGTCAGCGCGTGAAGTTAGTGTGTCGACTCGACAAGTCCATATTCCTGACTCGGCGAGTCCGCCAATCTGGATGAATCCCAAATTTTCAATAATGTGCTTTGGCTTGCCCCTCGAACTTCAAACACAAACTACAAAGAGTTCCAAAATCAGCATAAGGATACAACTCCACAACATTAGCAATGTTGTAGTTTAACCTTTTAAGAACACGAGTCATTTTTTGTTCTTCAATTTCTTCAATAACCCCCATCAAGGACAACTTCTCAAATTCTTCAATGTATTCTCCAACACTCATTTTTCCTTGCCTCAAATCACCAATCTTCTTGTAAGTGGCAATTCTATAAGTAGAAGGAACATATCTCTTCCCTAGCTTTCGGTTTATAGAAAGCCAACAACAACAAAAAAATTGCCTTCACGGGTTCTATTGGCCTTGAGCCCTTTAAAGAACAATGAAGCACCACCACTTAGCTTGAGAATGGCATGGTTGCAACTTTTTTCTTCATCTACTTCCTTGAACTCGAACATTCTTTCAATCTTCTTTTCCTACTCCAAGTAGTGTTTAGGATCAGTTCCACCAACAAATTCAGGCAATTCAGACACCTTGAATTCTTCCACAACCCTATGTTCACAACGTCGGGGTTGCCTTCAATTTCCACCATCTTGGATGTTTCTTAAGGCTTCATGATGATTTTGTAGGAGCTCTGGATCATCAAAATCCATTATGCACTCTTATATCACTTATGATACACGTATGAGATGTTTCGTATTGAGATTGAATAGTGTTGGAGAAAAAAACAAAAAAAGGATAGACTTGATAAACAAACTAGACCTATAGTTTGTAAATCTGAAGAAATGATAATTTGTGAATTATGAAAATAATTCAAAGTGAAAAAAGGGTTCTTTGATTAAAATTTATCTATTGCTTTTTCTTTGCATAAACTTTGCTTTATATGAAGTTTTTATTACAAACTTGGTGGTTACAAGTCAACCAACCAACTACTCATTAAAACTAGTAAATTAAAATTAAGGAAACTCTAGAAAAAATACAAAAGAATAATAATAATAACAATAACAATAACAATAACAATAACAATAACAATAACAATAATAATAATAATAATAATAATAATAATAATAATAATAATAATAAATAAATAAATAAATAAATAAATAAAACGTCCAAGACACTTGGAATGAAGAAAAAAACAAATTCATCCATGCTCCATTAAGGAGCCATAAGAAGCATTAAAGTGAAACTCAAATCCACCAAAGAGTGTCAAAACTGGCTATGAGGCTTTATGAAGCAAAAAAAATAACGTTTTTTTTTAGTACTGATGAAACCTTTAAAATGTTGCCCGAACCTTCATGCAACCATAATTCAATTTGTGGATTACCAATTTACCATGCACAACTCAACCATTGAGCCCTAACCACATTCTAGCCCATTAGTATTCAATAATCCACTACCTTTTAGGTTTTCATGATCCATGCATGATCAAATACTTCCCTAAACCAACTCGTAATTAAATTCAAAAACAAATCCTCATATTTAATAATTAAGCGTAACTCGTAAATTCTCAACTTAGCTAAATAACATGTATTGCATTTTGTTGTTTAAACCAATTAACCTAAACAACCCTAAACCCGAGTAACCCAAACCCAACTAATTTGTATCTTATTAGAGTCTAGTTTCAGGTGAAACTTTTATTAAGAAAAACGGAGTAACCCGAAACCCGATTGGGTTGATCCGATTAACAAACCTAGTTATTGGAATTAAGTCAGGTATCAAGTGCTCCATCTTCCCGGTGATGTAGCACCTAAGTTTCTGTTGGGTTAACTCCACTTTCGATTTTTGGTGATCGGAAGAGTAGCCAAGTGCAACCATGCACCACCGTTTAGCTTGATTAATAATGTGTGTGTATTTTAAACTCCCTTAATCACAGTGCCTCCATAGATTTTGCAAAGAAACTGGATCACCGTAAACATCCCTTCTCATGTCGTATTAACAATTTAACATGGCACCTTACAAATACATTAGTATTCCATACTAATATGTTAACCAACATAACAATGTTTGATAATGATGATTATTAAAGATGCCTTTATATTCTGGTTAAGCTTTAGACGAGGCAAGCAATTATACAACCAAGCTAGGCTCATGCGAAGCATTAGATTTCAACTACGGATTCGAAAAAGTGGGGTAACCGGGTAAGTAAGGAAGGTGAGTTGTTTTTATATATAAAAAAGAAGAATGGGATGTTTTTCTCTTCTTAATAAACTCAGGATCTTTCTCTACGTATACATATCCATTACTATTAACTATCCGGTAAAAAGGCTCAAACATTTATTTTTTAAGTGGAAGTATAAAATTACTAAGTGGAAATATGAGGACAATTAACAATACAAATTATATTTTTAGAACATAACAATACAAGTTATATACTATTCAAAGTAAAGGAAATCACAATGTGTGATTATTTAAGATGCCGATAATTAAGGGTACCTAAAGTCAATGCTTTGGGTTCGTTTACAATAATCTCAATCAAATAGCTGCATGCATACAAAATTTAAAATGTATATATATATATATATATATATATATATATATATATATATATATATATATATTAAATTCTCCTACATTTGATGTAGTAGTTTTTATACACCTATCTTTGACTTTTTGGATTACATACTCATATAATTTAATTTAGTAGATTAGTACGTATAATATCTTTAGTGGGTTCATTTGTTTTTAATTAAAATCTATGCAGCTGTCTTTGTTAAATACAAAAGAAATCAATTTTATGTATTTTCTTTTTCTTACAATTACCCTTCTTGTAAATAGGGTTACTTATTTTGCAACTGTTCACTAAATTAGTTTGCAACAATATCAGGAACAGTGGAACACATCAATGGAATAGCCCATTCACACTTTATATTCCTTATTACTGCGTGGAAAAGCAATAACCGTATGCTTAAGTTCATTCATTAAATTGAGCAGAAAGAAGAATTGGTCAATGTGAATGACCGAATAATATTTATAAAGATATCCCAAATGATCTTGAAATAGTAGCTAGTGTGTTAACATAATACATAAAATTATATCATATATAAAAACAACATATAATAATAAGTGAAGTCAATACGCTGCAACTTGTATGCTGGTTTGATGTATCTATAAGGTTTACTTTCTCCCACCATCAGCTCGGCCTCCACCTACTGACATCACTATCTTCAACTCCACCCATATATAGCCATCCACTGCCGTGACTCTCTCTATCCCCATAAACCATTCTAAATCAACAAATCAGAAAACGACCCTACCCCACCTTCCGCATCTCATCTCCGGTTGCTACCATATTCATATACATCTTCACCAATATCAATAGACATGTCTTCTTCAACGATAAGCCTTGAAAGTTATCTAATTCCATTGGAAGAGATCAACCGTGCCACCGAAAACTTCAACCAACAAAGATGTATTGGAGGCGGTGGATTTGGTGCGGTCTACAAAGGTCAACTCTCTGAACGCTGGCAAAACCGTGCGGCTGCTATCAAACGGTTAAGTCGAGATAGCTTCCAAGGAGAACACGAGTTCCGAAACGAGTTAGAGTTGATCTCAAAATTTCACCATGAAAACATCATATCGTTCATTGGATATTGTGATGAAGACAAAGAGATGATTATAGTTTACGAGTATGCGATGAATGGAAGCCTTGATCATCATCTCCAAGACCCGCATAAGATGAGTTGCATAACATGGACACAACGCCTGATGATTTGCATAGGGGCAGCAAGAGGACTGAGTTACCTTCACTCGGGTCTTGGGGAGCATAATAGAGTAATACACAGAGACGTCAAAAGTTCTAACATATTGTTAGATAACAATTTGGTTGCAAAAGTTTGTGATTTTGGCTTGTCAAAATTTGGTCCAAGAAATCAGAGTGATACCCAAGTTTATACAAGGGTTGCGGGTACACAGTTTTACATGGATCCAACTTACCATGAAAGTGGTATCCTTAGAAAAGAATCGGATGTGTACTCTTTCGGTGTGGTATTGTTTGAAATCCTGAGTGGGATGTTGGTCTATCATGAAAAGAGTTTTGGAGATGATTGCCAACAAAATCTCATAACTGCTGTTCGGAGATACTATAACAAGGGACCTCGTAAGGTAATTGATCCCAATATAAGAGATCAAATTGATACTAGTGCTTTTGAGGCATTCCAAGAAATTGCATATCAGTGTATTAGTTTCAATTTGATGGAACGCCCTACGATGGACAAGGTCATTGAGAGGATTGAAAAAGCTCTAACTATTCAAGTAAGTCAATCTTTTCATTTTGTTCTTTTGAAGATAATCAAAACTATTTTGGATTTGTGGATGATACGACATCATAAATTGTCATAATCCTTTTAGTGATGCCAAATAATCATCTATCATCCTGAGCAAATTAAAATTATTTTGGTTTTTAGCTTTTTCTCCAAACGTTGGAAGGCCATTTTTCTCTACTTACTTAGTGTTGCATTTGTCCTGTCCAACTTTCTATTTTAGAATGTTGATAATGAAATTTCATGTCACACAGCCAAACTGTGGTAGTGTCGTAGACATGCGTTTTTTTTTTTTTTTTTTTTTTTTTTTGTGACATAAATTACAAGTATTAATTTAATGTATTGTTTAAATTTCATTGACGGATACAAAATTTTTAAATACAAACATAAAAAAGTGTTTCTTATTCAATCACCAAACCAGATTAGGAAAAATACTATAAACGAACAAAATATAAAGCACTGAAAACTAAATGAGATATTTTCCGATTGATTTAGAGGTTTGGATCAAAAACAAGCAAGGGTGGATGAAAACAATCATTTATTGTTGATATTAAATAGCAATTCCGTCTTTTAAAGGGGTTACCACGTACAAGTACTAACTAACATTTTGTTGACTTATATAGTTATCGCGTGTAGTTTGACATAGTATGACATTTTGTTGAAACCATAGTCAAGTACAAATTGGGTTCCCTAAAGACTTGCACAACAAACTTTATTATGATTTAATCAACCATCAACCATATCCAATATACACGGCGTTTATTAAACATTTGTTTTATTTTTGCAGACCCACAAACCTTCCGCCTCGACCCCTGCAGTACGTTCAATGATAGAAAGTGTCGTCCATAAACTAAAGTACTCCGCCAGTCCTGATGACCAGCAGACTGCCGCTGGTGAAATCCACCTCCTTGCAAAAGGACACAACGACAACCGTGTCGCCATTGTCGAGGCTGGAGCAATCCCTATGCTCTCACACCTACTCGCATCACCAGACACACTTACACAAGAACATGCATTGAACGCAATTCTTAATCTCTCGATTCACGATGAAAACAAAGGCATAATAGTGTCTTCTGGAGCTGTGCCCGGGATCATTTATGTGTTGCAGGAAGGTAACATGGAAGCACAGGAGAACGCAGCAGCCACCCTTTTCAGCCTCTCTTCAATGGACAAAAACAGGGTAACCATCGGTTCTGCAGGAGCTATCCCACCACTTGTGTTGCTGTTGAGTGAAGGTACTCAGAGAGGGAAGAGAGACGCAAGCATTGCGTTGTATAATTTATGCATACATCAGGGTAATAGAATAAGGGCCCTGAAAGCGGGTGTAGCGCCCATATTGATGAAGCTGCTTAAGGAACCAGAGGGTGTGTTGAAGGATGAATCGTTAGCCATTCTAGTCGTTATTTCAAGCCAACCGGAAGGAAAATTGGCTATAGGTAAAGAAGCGGCAGTGCCTATATTGGTTGAGATAATTGGGAATGGATCTTCTAGGATGAAAGAGAATGCTGTTGGAATTTTAATTGAAATTTGTTTTATAAATCAAAAGTATTTGGTCGAGGCTCAAGAACTTGGAGTTAAGGAGAAACTGATGGATTTGCTACATCATGGTACGGACAGAGGGAGGAGAAAAGCAGGACACTTACTGGAAAAGATGAGTAGATTAGCCGAGCATCAGAAGCAATTGGGGAGGGCGTGACTTATAAAGAAGTATAAGCTGACGAGTGTTTGTCATCCCCTTTCGAAATGTATTTCATCTTTTCAGTGGTTGGTTTTCTCCCTCTAATATTGTAGAAGGAGGCACACTCTAGGAATTGTGCTGAGTTCTATTCATTGGATGTTATGACATAATGGTCAGCAGATGTCACTGCCCATCGCAACAAACCGCCATTCAAGAAAAATGTAGCAGAAAGATAGCTGACCACCCACTAGCACAAACACCTCTTAGATTCAAAGAATCAAGAATATATATATATATATATATATATATATATATATATATATATATATATATATATATATATATAGAGAGAGAGAGAGAGAGAGAGAGAGATTTTGTATTCATTATTGATGAAATGAAAGCAAAACATACATATAGAGAGAGATTTAGTATTCATTATTTTTACTATATTATTAAGTATATTGGACAAATTTTGAATTTTAAGAGATATAAAATATTAAACTTGATGTACAAATAAGTTAAGCATAGACAAACAACTAATACTTACCAAAAATCAAATACATTAAATTAAAGAGATTATTATAGAATGTTGAAATCATCACTAATTCTTAACAAAATTGGATACATCGTTTGTGTCACACCCCGAAAACCAAGGCAGAAACATTTTCGGGGCGGACTTCACGTTGTGTATCAAATCCAATGCACATAGTAAGCAAAGTAAAGAACCATTACATTACATATTAGAATTTACATTTGTTCAAAAGTAAAGTGTCACAAGTGTTATACATATGTATCATATGAACAAAAGTAAAGATGTGTCTTCTACGTACTCCGTCTTCGCCAAAAGGATAGCTAAGTACCTGTCTAATGCGGACCTGAAAATACAAGCAGTTTGAAAATCAGCATAAAGTTGGTGAGTTCATAAGATGTTTGTTTTCTGAAAATGAACAAGTTTCCTTCCGGTTTTTCTGAAAAGTTTACGACTCAAGAAAATCCCATATTTTATTAAATGAAATGTTTAGTTATCTGTTATGTTACACAGTTTTGGTTATGTACAATTGTTATCCCAGGAAAATCCTATATTTTCCTAAAATGTTTGCGAAGTGTTATCGAATATGAAAGTAATGTACAAGTATCTACCATACTTAAAGTGTGTGTGTGTGTGTGAAGTTTCTTGAAAGTTTGGTTACCTTTAAATGTACATTAGTTTTAACTCGTATATAAAACTAATAAATAAGTATAAAGTTATCATAATCTTGATTGCGAGTTCCATAACCATACTACAGACTAGATATGATTCGAGATGGGGCCAATATCTTCTATGACTTTTGTCACCCTTGAACCTTTCGGTTCAGCTGTAGCTAGCAGCCAGGTGTGGGATAGTCACTCCCGTATAGATCTATACACTCAAGTCACGCTCTCCCTTTTCGGAGATTCTGGTTATAGGGATAGTCCTCCACTTTCGTGTCTAGGGGAAGTGTTGCAAAGGACGTGTCTCCAATTTTAAGATTCGTGAGTGTAAAACTGAATATATTAATACGGAAAACCCGGTTTTATTGGTTCTTTACTCTCGTATCTAGGGGGAGTACTAACTAAGACCTGACTAAGTTCTAATGATACATGTCCTTCACACTCGTATCTAGGGGGTGTTTTATTAAGGACAATACAAAGTTCAGTAAATGTGTGAACTATCAATTGCGAAGTATAAAGTATAACACTATATAATATGAATTGAAATTTAGCTTGAAAAACAACTCTGCAAGTGAAACTGTTTGTTAATATGTTTTCAATTCTTAAAAGTTTACGGATTAGGAAACCATTCAAACGAAATAATGATTTTAAGTACATGATATTCTTGTACTTTTGCTTGTATTCCCCACCTGAAAACAGTGAAAAATATTGAAAAAGGGTAGGGGTATGAACTCACCGGTCGAGAAGTGTGTCGACTACGATGCTAAACGTCGGATCGAGGCTTGAAAACATGCGAGGTTCCTATGTAATATTAAATGATACACAAATGTATCTAATTAGACTTTAAATTACTAATTAGATATGATTTTACAATCCAAGACGCGAAACACTTCAAATCAAATGTTTGGAGTGACCCTGGTCGTATGGGGCTTAGATAAGGAGCTTGTTCTTCAAGAGTAAACTCCTAAAGGAGTTTATGACCCTAAGACCATGACCACATGAGTTCACGGCCATGAACTCATGGTTAATGGGTTTTAAGGTGCTAAATGGTCTTATTTCACTTGGGAAAATTGGCTAGGATCAAATCTAGGGCATAAGAGTGGATTAAACTTACAAATGGACCATTTAATGGAGTTTACGGCCGTAAACTCCCCCACACACATTCCTTATGTGTTTTGGTGGTGCTAGGACAATCACATGTGATTTAAACTCATTTTGCAAGACTTGGATGGAATTTAGGGCATCATTTGACTTGTGTTTATGAGTTTACGGCCTAGCAACCCATTCTATGGGGGTTTACGGCCGCGAAGTCTCCAAGGGGTGGTTTTTATCAAGTTTAAGGCCCCTAAATCAATTGTGGTTGATTCTAGAATTTAATCCAAGGCTATTGGTGTGTTTAAGTGGCTTTTAAACACTCAAATATGAGTTTACTCTCCGTGAAGTTGAGTTTATGGCCCAAGCATGTTCTGGGGCAGTAAACTCATGTTTACTCCCCAAAAATTTTATTCAAGGTGTTCTAAGTCCAGTACATTAAGTCATCTAGCCATATCTAAGCTCCAAAGGTCGATTGGAAGGGTTTAAAGGCTAAAAAACCCCTTATATGTGTGTTTACGGACCAAGCATGTTCCAGGGTTGTAAACACATAAAAATGGTCCTAAATGATTGTTTGAACTCGTATTTGAAGGTCTAAGATGCTATAATAAGAGTTAGGGAAGTTACCTTGGTGATTTGGAGCTTAAATTTGATGTTTTTGGACCTTAAATTTGGTTTGAGGAGAGAGGTTACAGAGAGACTAGTGAGAGAGAGAGAGAGAGTAAAAGCTTCAAATGGAAGCTTAAACCACTTTAAATATGTTCCAAGTTTGGGACACGGTGGAATTCTACCCGATACCGACGTTATACGATGCTTTTGGTCAGACCCGATTAAGTTGTCGTAACCTGAAATGGTCGAAACTAAAAGTTTTCTAAGTAATTGTTTGGATTCCAATTCAATCATAATAGAAGTCTCAAAAATAATGACTTAATTTAAAACTTAAACGGAAACAATTCGAAAAAGAAGAATTTTATGGACGGACACGGGTTACGGCGATGGAGCAAACTTCGGGTTGTCACATTATCCCCCCGTTAGAGGGAATTTCATCCCGAAATTCAAACTTTAAATATGACTCAAGGATTTCGAAAGAGATACGGATACTTCAGTTTCATCGGATCTTTACGCTCCCAATGAACTCGTGTCTTCGTATGGCATTCCAACGAACCTTCGTTATCCGGATACGATTTTGTTTCGTATGTTTAATATCTCGATCTATGGTTTCGATTGATTCCTCCATGAGGTTCAGACTTTCGTTGGTTTCGGTCACATCGAAGGGATTACTAGGGTTTCGTCGGGTAGGCACTTCTTATGAATAAAGACGTGGAATATCGGATGGATGCTGCTAAGTTCTGAAGGTAGTTGGAGTTTGAAGGTTATGGAATCGATCTTAACGGGTTTTCTGTGGGTACCTTCGGTGCTGACTAATTCTCTATTGCTTTGATCTTAGGAGGATCCCACATGTATGTCTTCATCGTCTACTACATGACCAAGGAAAATGGTTCGACCGATGGGCATTACTACGATCTTATAGCGATCATATCGAGTCTAGCATACTGTCTACGGAACATCACTCTCATGGATTTGTAGCTGACGGTACCTTGACCTAAAGTTTATTTTTGAGAGGTGGCTGGTTCTCTGAAATGGATCGAAAAGGTCATCTATTCGAGGAAAAAGGATATCGGTTTTGACGGTCAACTCATTATGTTGACTGGAAAACTCCTGCATTTCTGCTAGAGCTAAGCGATATGGAGATTTGGCTAATGAGGTAGTTCCAGGAATTAGGTTGATGCGAAATTCAACCTGATGTTCTGAAAGAATTCTCGGAAGCTATATAGGAATAAAATAGGATAGTCACAGACTTCGGGGACATTCTCGAGGTTTTCTAACTTCCTTTTTCCCGCGGATCACATGGGCTAAGAATGCTTAACACTCCTTTTTAGGGAAAACACTTGAGTTTTGATGCATGAATGATATAAAGGTTGGAACCGAATTTATCGCCGTAGATCATGAGGGTCTGACCAGAGAGGAGATTGGGACGGATAGATTTTTCAATACATGGGTATCAGTACGATTGGAACTCAACCAGTCCATGTCACAGACAACATCAAAACTATTTATGGAAACTGGCATATGATCAACGGATGAAGAATGGTCGTTCAGAGTAAAGGTACAACCTATGGATGTATCGATAAAGTTCTCTTTCCACTGTTAGTCGTCTCGATGGTGAATGTTTCATTTACTAGTGAAGGGCTAAATTAAGAAGATGTCTAAATGAATAGTTAGCAGATTATTCTTTTAGCACTAGAATCGAAAAGGATTGCAAGCATAAGAGTTGTTGAGGAGGAATATACCTGAGGCGACGGTGGGATCAGCGGCTGTCTCCTCTCGTCCTATTGCTAGGGCTTTACCAGTGTTGCCAATCATCGCTGTCTTGGGGTAGTTTCGCTTGAAATGTCCAACTTCTCCACAACCATAACAGGCCTCACCAATGCCCGCTCCGAAAGCCTGATTGGTTGATTGGGTTGGTGTCTTGCAGTTCTTCACAGTGTGACCCTTTTTGCCACAACTGTTTCAAAACTCTTCTCGACATGGGCTGGAAGTGAGGTGATAATAGTTGCACTTGTCACACCTAGGGAGGGTTCCAGCATACATACTGGTAGGTGTTCGAGCTGAGGATCCAACAGTAGAAACAACTGCAGGGGTAGTAGCAGCGTGAACTGCCACAGTTTGCTGCC